GAAAAAGCTTCTTGGAGGAGAAATGAAATATTTTCAACAGAAAAAAACAACAACCCCAAAAAAGTCTTTTGGAAAAGAACCTTTGGGACAACCTTGACCTGGATGCTTGAAAATCTCCATAGATACTTATTGACAAAACTTCTGGTTCTGTTTTTGTCATGCCTTGTGTAATGGCTTTCTTGAGAAGTTCAAGGAAACTGATTGACCTTCACACATCTCAGGAGTGACTTCAAGCTTGTCCAGTTCAAGGAACAATCGGTCCCTTTTCTGTTTGTCTGTTCCTCTCCATCTCTACTCACAACCAGTGAAGGTCGTGCGGATGGGGAAGCCCCAAAGGCTTCTGGTCTTTATTTATTTTATTTATTTATTTATTTTGTCAAGCATGTATTAGATAACAGATATAAGTATAGACATGATTATGAATACATGAGATGGATACGAATAGAAAGGGACATTAGGACAGGGACGGTATGCACATTGGTGTGCTTATGATGCCCCTTACAGGCCTCTTAGGAATGGGGTGAGGTCAACAGTAGACAGTCTAACGTTAAAGTTTTGGGGGTTTGTTTGGGGAAGAAACCACAGTGTCAGGTAGTGCATTCCAGGCATTGACCACTCTGTTGCTAAAGTCGTATTTTCTACAATCGAGTTTGGAGCGGTTTACCTTGAGTTTGTATCTATTATTTGCTTGTATATTGTTGTGGTTGAAGCTGAAGTAGTCATTGACAGGTAGGACATTGTGGCAGATAATTTTATGTACTATGCTGAAGTCGGCGTAGTTCTAAGTTGTCTAAGCCCAAAATTTGGAGTCTGGTGGCATAAGGTATTTTATTGCGGGTAGAAGAATGGAGGACTCCTCTCGTAAAATATCTCTGGACTCTCTCGATTGTATTTATATCCGATATGCAGTGCGGGTTCGAGACAGATGAGCTGTATTCAAGAACTGGTCTAGCAAATGTTTTGTATGCTCTAGTTAACGGTACAATATTACCAGAGAAGAAGCTACACAAGATTAAGTTAACAACTCTTAATGCCTTTTTGGCAATGTTGTTACAGTGGGCTCCGGCACTTAGATCTTTAGAAATGAGTACTCCAAGGTCCTTGACAGAGTCTTGAGGAAACATTTTCCCCATTCAGTTTCTGCCGCCCAAGAGGAAAATGAACACGGAGTGGCTGCAAATGACTTCTCCGGCCTCTTAACCTAGGATACGGTGGCAATTCTATCGACGACACAAAATCAACTGAACTACTTTGTGTTGCAATCCTGAGCAAGTAAGACCTTGGAGATGTGGACATCTCATGCTCCTGTAAGGCTGAATGATGCCACAACTAATTAGCATGAAATGCTCCTCCTTTGCTTTTCATGCCTGGGGGCGATTTTATAATATTGTTTGCAAGCATCATCTCATCCTGAACCTTGGCAGCCATCGCTGTTCTTTGTTCTTTTGATGATCTTGTGCAAAACAAGGATGTTGCATTTTTGCCAAACCGTTCACCTAGATTTTTTCCCCTTCCAACCAGGATATATTTACTCTGAATATTTCCTTCCGTAATTAATTTAAGTGTTGAGTGTTAAAATCCAAATTTTTTTACTACCGGTTCTGTGGACGTGGCTTGGTGGACATGGTATGGCTTGGTGGGTGTGGCAGAGGAAGGATACTGCAAAATCTCCATTCCCTCCCCACTCCTGGGGGAAGGATATTGCAAAATCTCCATTTTCACCCCACTCTGGGGCCAGCCCAGAAGTAGTATTTGCCGGTTCTCCGAACTACTCAAAATTTCCGCTAACAGTTCTCCAGAACCTGTCAGAACCTGCTGGATTTCACCCCTGGGTATTACATGTCCTAAACATTCTCATTCTTTTTTTTATGAAATTACAATTTAGCCTCTTTTCACCTGTTCTGTGGAGGATTCTCTCATTTTGTACACATTCAACTTGTGCCATTGTGACTAATGCTCTATATCCACATTTCAAAGGCTCAAAGGTTCAATTGATTGTCACTTTTGACAGTTGTCCATGCTTTGTATCCATACAAAAATCCCCCAGCATGATAGACTGACATACAATTTTCCAACAAAGTCTTTAACGGAACAGAATGGGAGGCAGAAAATTCCTACGCAGAATAGCTGTGAATCACGTTGTCCTTTGTCAGATTATCAGTTAACAACTTTCCAAGGATGACTAAAGCTATTAATAGGATTATCATTGTTTGCACTTGCAAACAGGGTTTGCACACTAGCAATTTATTCTGCTACTCAACTGTCATTGTGATGATTCATTAGGATGGACATCCCCTACTACTTTGGATAGCCCTGTTGATTTTTAAGTAAAATTATCAGAATAAACTAAACACACACACACACATACATCTACACATATAAAATACATAAAATAAAAGCAAAAGGAAATACACTTCCCCACTAATAGAAAACAATTGAGGTTTTGAATATAGTATTAAACCTTAGGTGCACAGTTAATATTGATCGGTGTTCATAAAATAAAACTATATAATTTTTATTTAAGAAATTGTAATGGGATAAAAAGCAAGACAATATTAGAAAAGAAGCAAAGAAAATAAGAAGAGTGAACGTAAGAAAGAAAATAGAGGAGAGAATAAAATACCAGGCAAAAATTTGACTATGGAAGGCCAAGCCCAAATCGTGTCAATATCCCATCAATCACTCTGACAGGCTGCCCCCTCTGACGCACTCTACATTTCAGTATAAGGAAGTCGATTATGTTCCTGTTCAAAGCAAGAATCTAACTGATGTTTGGTTCAGTTATTACACCCATCTACTTACACCACAACTATCTTACTTTGCCTATGATGGCATACACAGCAAACCACTTCCTTGTTTAGTGAATTACTTCATTTTCTGAGTTCACATGATATATTGGAAGCCAAGATACCCGAGCAAGCTAGGTTTTCATCCACCCAGGCCCCGCACGTGTGCATGCATGGGGGCGGAGCACATGTGTGGTGGACAGGGCGCATGCACGGGGTTGTACGCGCATTGCATTTTGGGGATTTGGGACTCGGTCCGGGAAAGGTTAGCCATCACTGACCTATACTATTTCAGATAAGTGACTATCTAGACTCTTTTTAAAAACCTCCAGTGATGGAGCGCCCACGATTTCTGAAGGCCAGCTGTTCCACTGGTTAATTGTCCTCACTGTTAGGACGTTTCTCCTTAATTCCAGGTTGCTTCTCTCTTTGGTTACTTTCCAACCATTGTTTCTTGTCTTGCTTTCTGGTGCTTTGGAGAATAATTTGCCCCCCCCCTCTTTCTTTGTGGCAGCTCCTCAAATATTGGGAGACTGCTATCACGTCACTCCTAATTCTTCTTTTCTTTAGACTAGCCAAACCCAAATCCTGCAGCCGTTTTTCATATGTTTTAGTCTCCAGGCCTTTGATCATCTTAGTTGCTCTTCTCTGAAAACTACTTGATGGTTTTCTTTTTTTTTTTATTAAATGTTTTTTTAAATGTTTTAAATGTTTATTTTTTTATTTAAAAAAAAAAAAGAAAGAGCCTGGTGGTGCAGCAGACTAACAGCCTGTTATTAACATCAGCTGCTTGCAATTACTGCAGGTTCGAATCTCGCCAAGGCTCAAGGTTGACTCAGCCTTCCATCCTTTCTAAGGTGGATAAATTGAGGACCCGGTTGTGGGGGCAATAAGCTGACTTTGTATAAATATACAAAAGGATGAAGGCTATTGCTTAGTGCATTGTAAGCCGCCCTGAGTCTCTGGAGAAGGGCGGCATATAAATCAAATTAAAAAAAAAAAAAAAAAAAACTAATTTAACGACCGCAGAGATTTGCTTAACAATGTTGGCAAGGAAGGTGCGTAAGATGGGGCAAATTTAGGGCTCCGTTGTGGTTGTAAGTGAAGGATTACCTGCATTGCAGAAGTTTTATTTCCTGTTTTCAGACAGTACACAATTGTGTACAACTGCGTCCTAAGCAAGCATTTTTGAATGAAATTAAATCAAAGGAGGGAACCTCCCGCCCCCCCCACACATCCTATTGTATCTTAACAGACAGTTTACTTCACATAAAAGAGGGTTTTGACCATAAGGGGCAAAACTCACTTAGCGACAGAAATTTAGGGGTCCGGCAAGGGGGTGTGTGTGTCTGCGTGCAATTTTGACTCAGAGACAGACGCAAGCAAGGAGAAGGAAATGTTAAGTCATCACGCAGTCCCCCGCACGTCTTGAAACCGACCCCCCGGGCGAAGGTGTAAGGGCAAATACAGTCCTTAACTTACAACGGTTCATTTAGCGACCGTTCAGTTACACAGCGGCGCTGAAAAACAAGTGACTTGGGGCCGTTTTTCCACACTTTACCACCGTTGCAGCATTCCGCCCCTCGTCCCAACGGTCACGCGGGTCAAAAATGTCAACGCTTGGCCACCGACTCACAGTTATGACAATTTGCAGTGTCCGCGTTGTGTGTGTGTGTGTGTGTGATTTCCCCTTTTGCGACCTTCTGAGCAGCCAAGTCCATGTGGAGGAGGGGGGAGCCCATTTCACTTAACGACCGTGGGACTGAACGCCGCAGGGAGTGGCTTGGCAGCCTCGGCAAACCTCCCTGACCCAATGTCTCGCTTAGCAACACGAGTTTGGCTGTAAACCGAGGACCTCCCGTATAACGGCGCTCCATCCCTCCTCCGGGCCTTCGCCTAAAAAGCAGCGGGGACTTGGCCGGTCTCGGCGGGGGACTTCGCTGGCCACTCCCCGCCTGCCAGCGCTCCGCGGGGCCAGCCAGGAGGAGCTTCGGCCGCTCAGCCCCGGCCGGGGATGATGTCACTCGCGCCGCCCGCAGCCTGAAGCTCCGGCGCCGGCGGGTGGAGCGCCCCGTCTTCCCTGCCGACCTCCCCCCCCCCCCCCCCGCCGGCCTCTCCGCCCGCCTCCGCAGCCCAGCCGGGCGGGCGGGGCGCCGCCAAAGCCTTGCCCGCCTCCTGGGCGCTGCCGCTGGAAGGGGCGGCCCCGCTGGGAGGCCAGGCCAGGCCGGGCCCCGCTGGATGCCGGGCGGGCTGGCAGGCAGGCAGGCTGGCTGGAAACGTTGCTTGCCGGCTGCGCGGCGGGGTTGCAGCGAGGCGGAGGTAAGGCGGGCTCCTTCGGGGCTGGGCGAGGGAGGAGGAGGGAGTCCCTTGTAATCTCTTCCTTCCTTCCTTCCTTCCGCTATCCTCCCCTCCCTCCTCTCTCTCCGTCCTCCTTCCTCTCTCTCTCTTCTTTCCTTCCTTCCTTCCTTCTTCCCTCCCTCTCTCTCTCTCTCTCTGCTTCCTTCTTCCATTTCTCTTCTTCTTCCCACCCTCCCTTTTTCCGCCGTCCTCCCCTCCCTCCTCTCTCTCTCTCTCTCTCTGCTTCCTTCTCCCATTTCTCTCTTCTTCTTTCCTCCCTCCCTCTCTCTGCTTCTTTCCCCCCCTCTCCTTCCTTCCACCTTCCTCCCGTCTCTCCCTCCCTTTCTCTCCTTCTTTCTTCCCTCTCTCTCTCTCTTCTTTCCTTCCTTCCTTCTTCCCTCCCTCCCTCTCTCTCTCTGCTTCCTTCTTCCATTTCTCTTCTTCTTCCCACCCTCCCTCTCTCCGCCGTCCTCCCCTCCCTCCTTCTTTTTCTCTCTCTCTCTCTCTGCTTCCTTCTCCATTTTCTCTCTTCTTCTTTCCTCCCCTCCCGCTCTCTGCTTCCTTTCCTCTCTCTCTCTCTCCTCCTTCCTTCCTCTTCTCCCTCCCTCCCTCCCCTCCCCTCCCCATCCTTCCCTTCCCTGCCCCAAACCTCCACGCCCGGATCCCCCCCACCCCTTCCCCAATTGGGCTTACTGCATTAGTGAGAGGCTTCTCATCTCTCCCTCCACTGTGTTTGCTGGGTGGGAAGCCTGTTCACACGATCCCAGCCTTGAACGGCCCATGTCTGAACCGCAAATAACCCCCTCTCTCCTTTCCTTCCTTCCTTCCCTTCCTTCCTCCTTTCCTTCCTTCCTCCCTCCCTCCTTCTTTCCTTCCTTTCCTTCCTTCCTTTCCTCCTTCCTTTCCTTCCTCCCTCCTTTCCTCCCTCCTTTCCTTTCCTCCCTCCTTTCCTCCCCCCTTTCCTTTCCTCCCTCCTTTTCTCCCTTCTTCCTTTCCTCCCTCCTCCCTTCCTTTCCTCCCCTCCTTTCCTTCCTCCCTTCCTTTCCTCCCTCCTCCCTTCCTTTCCTTTCTCCCTTCCTTTCCTCCCTCCTTTCCTCCCTCCTCCCTTCCTTTCCTCCCTCCTTTCCTTCCTCCCTTCCTTTCCTCCTCCTCTTCCTTCCTTTCTTCCTCTCTTCCTTTCCTCCTTCCTTTCCTTCCTTCCTTCCCCATCCCTCCCTCCTTCTTTCCTTTCTGCATCCTTTCCTTCTTTCCTCCCTCCTTTCCTTCCTCCCTTCCTTTCCTCCCTCCTCCCTTCCTTTCCTTTCTCCCTTCCTTTCCTCCCTCCTTTCCTTCCTCCTCCCTTCCTTTCCTCCCTCCTTTCCTTCCTCCCTTCCTTTCCTCCTTCTCTTCCTTCCTTTCTTCCTCTCTTCCTTTCCTCCTTCCTTTCCTTCCTTCCTTCCCCATCCCTCCCTCCTTCTTTCCTTTCTGCATCCTTTCCTTCTTCCTCCCTTCCTTTCCTTCCTTCCTTCCTCCCTTCCTTCCTCCCTCCCTCCCAGTTCACCGATTCATTCCCCGTCTCCCCTTTCTCTGGATATATCCTTTCATTTTCCTTGAAGCATTTCTTGCTGGGAGAGCATTTTTCTTTTCTTTTTTCTTTTTTCTTTTTGTCCTCCTTGAAAACAAGTTTTCCCTAAAAGCTGGCCAGCTGGGAGATGTCTGAATTTGGAAGAAGGGATGCAGTTGTCAGCTCCCTCACCCCCTCTCAGCTCCTGCTTTGCAGGGGAAGAGACTTTCCGGACTTCTGTGTTGTACAGGGAGGCAAGAGACAAGCTTGGGTGGTGTGTAGACCCAAATTGTGAAGGTTGTGGGTTGGGTTTGTGCTGCTTCTGAACTGGCCCTGTAAATCGCCCAGATTAATACCGAGCTGAACCTGTTGGCGATGAAGCTCTAACCCGATTAGTTAAGCAGCATGTTGTGTGAAGCCGGTTGTGTTGTGAATTGGCACCATTTCCACGTTTGTTTATTGATTGATTTATTAGAATTTGTCAACAAATACGAGAACAAGAATAAAAGACTAAAAATACAGTGACAGGGACCATCGGCACGTTAGTGCACTTATGCACAGCCCCTCTAAACCGACCACTGAAGTAGGACCACTTACGTTGCTAGTAAGGAAGCGGCATAGAGCTGGAAACCAAAGTCCAGCAAAGAGGCATTTTTTGTTTCTTTCCTGCAAATTTCGTCTGTGCTGCTTGTGGGTCACACTTGGGTGTTTATTCCAAAAATTGGATTTTTTAAAAAAATATATATTTTTATTTTTTTCCAAAACAAAACCTCGCAGGGTGGAGATTTTTCCCATAACCAGCTGGAAGTTGCTTGGGGTTTTTGTTTTTACTTCTTTGCTAAATTGTAGGCTGCAGCTCCTTGTAGTCTTGCTTTTCTTACTAGAGGCAGTTTAAGGCAACTTGGGGGTGGGGTGAAGGGGGTGTCACAATTTTTTAAAAAACAAGATTTACGCTGGCCGAGTGGGAACTCCGTCAAAACTTGGCTTGAGGTTTTCTGTTTTTTTTAAAGCTCCTTTGCAAAAAAATTCCCGAGTGGGCAATGCTTATATTACAATCTTGGAGGCTCCCTGTGATTCAGAGGTTAATGTATATTATAAGGGCTTATTATTTCTAGCCCAGCCTCAGCCCCAAGTGAAATAATTAGCATTATTCCTGGGTGGGATCGCTGCTGGAGGGGCCAGATCTTGTAAACTTTTAGGGAAACGGCGTCACTCATTCTGCTAGATCAGGGGGTCTGCAACCTTAAATACTCGAAGAGTCATTTGGACCTGTTTCCCACAGAAAAGAAAACACCGGGAGCCACAAAACCTGGGTGGGCTCGATGTCACTCACTTCCACCAGTCACATGACCCTCCCTAGCCCCGCCTACCCAGCTGGTCATTAGGGCAGAGAACTGATTGTTAAAAAAACCTGGGAACCACAAAACCCTTTTGACATCTCTTTCTCTCTCTCTCCCTCCCTCCCCCCTCTCTCTCCCTCTTCCCTGCCCCCCTCTCTGTTTCTCTCTGTCTTTGCCCCGGCTGCTTCTCCATCCCCTGCCATCGCCCTTACCTTCTCAGGCCAGGCGAGGGGTGACTGGGAGGGGAGGGCCAGGGGTGGGATCACCGGACAGGGAGCCACAGCAGAGGGCCCAAAGAGCTGCATGCGGCTCCGGAGCCACAGGTTGCTGACACCTGTGCTAGATCCTTGTAATCCACATGTTCTCTTCCCGCCTTTTTTGTGTGACCGTTATGCAGGTAGTCCTCGACTTACGACCGCGACTGAGCCCAACATTTCTGTTGGGAAGCGAAACGTTTGTTCAGTGAGTTTTGCCCCACTTTTTCTTGCCGTAGTCGTGAGTGGATAAGTAAGTTAACACAGTTGTTAAGTGAATCTGGGTTCCCCATCGACTTGGCTTGTCAGAAGGTCTCAAAAGGGGGGGGTGTCACATGACCCCCCCCCCGAACATAGAAAACATCGTAAGTGCGAACCAGTTGCCAAGCATCTGAATTTGGATCACACGATCATGGGGACGCTGCAAAGGTCGTAACTCTGAAAAACGGTTGTAAGTCACTTTTTTCAGTGCTGTTGTAAGTTTGTTTTTGTTTTTTAAATATATTTTATTGATATTTTTTGTAAACATATATTTGTAAACATATAACAATATTTTGTAAGCATTTTGTAAGCATTTTGTAAACATATAACAATAACTGGGTACAGCTATTTTTGAGAAATAATAATAGTAATACTAACAATGTTCGTAGCATTGATAATCATAATAATATTTGCTTATCCATATTAATAAACCTTAGTGCCATTGTAACTTTGAATGGTCACTAAACGAACTGTTGTAAGAGGAGGACTATCAGTGGAAGTTCGAACCTATTTCTCCCTTGCCTTTTGCTTTCATGTTCTGCCCCTTCAAATAGCTTTTTCTTCTTAGCAGATTTCCTCTCTTACAACAGTTCATTTAGCTACCGTTCGAACTTACATTGGCCCTGAAAAAAATGACCCGTGACCATTTTTCACACTTAACGACCGTCGCGGTGTCTCCCTGCGGTCACATCATCAAAATTCAGACGCTTGGCAATGGACTCCACATTTACGACGGTCGCCTTGTCCGCCGGGGTATATGTGTATCACGTGATCGATCTCCTTTTGCCACCTTCTGACACAAGCCAAGTCAATGGGGGAAGCTGGCCCTGTTTCTCACTTAAGAAGTCCGGCGATTCACTGAACAGCAAGGAAGGTCGTAAAACGATGCCAAATTCCCTTAAGAGGCCAGATGTCTTGCTTAGCGGATGGAAATTTGGGGCTCGGTGAAGGTCGTAAGTCGAGGACCAACTGTGTTTTTTGATTGGTTTCTTTAGACGGTAAGTGGTTTGTTAATAAGAGGCTGTGTTTGCTCAGGGTGATACTAGATAGATCATGCAGTTGATTTTATCTATCTATCTATCTATCTATCTATCTATCTATCTATCTATCTATCTTCTCTCTCTCTATAGTATAGTATAGTATAGTATAGTATAGTATGTATAGTATAGTATAGTATAGTATAGTATAGTATAGTAAGTATAGTATAGTATAGTATAGTAATGTATGTGTCTGTCTGTTTGTCTGTCTGTCTATATCTATATCTATCTATTTTCTGTCTCTCTGTGTTTGTCTGTCTGTCTGTCTGTATCTATCTATCTCTATTATCTATCTATCTATCTATCTATCTATCTATCTATCTATCTAATCTCTTCTCACTCTCTCTCTGTCTGTCTGTCTGTCTGTTTCTCTGTCTGCCTATCTATATATATCTATCTTTCTCTCTGTCTATCTGTCTGTTTCTCTGTCTGCCTGCCTGCCTGCCTGCCTGCCTGCCTGCCTGCTGCCTGCCTGCCTGCCTATTATCTATCTATCTATCTATCTATCTATCTATCTATCTATCTATCTATCTATCTATCTATCTCT